TATGTCATGGTCGGAGCGCGATCACCGTGACGCCATACCTGGAATCTTATATTTTTAGGTATATATTCATAGCATACACCAATGTCTCAGGTACTTCTGGAGTTTTGCCTACCACTTGAAGCATGATTAGTTTGTCGTTTGGCTTCATCAACCGTGGTAATACAGGAATTGGTGGGGCAGTAGGTATAAAATCATGACTGGAGATGGAACTTGCCGAAATTCCGATAAGGAAGTAGCTCAATATCAACAACATTTGCAACTATAAATGCTCAGTTGACGACGTTCTTTCTTTCTATTTTTACGACAAAAAATATTTTGCTCAAATAATATGGATGAAATACGTCACATGAAATGTTTGATGACGTACAAATGAGTAAACGAAGGAGAAATGAGCACTCAGTTGGGGTCATTGATGATTTCAAAAATAGATAGAATCTCTTGTCAAAATCCTACACAAGTTATGAGTTGAGATGGATGAATGATTTTCCGATAATTTGCCAGTATATCTCAAGGTGGTTATGACTCTGTTAAGGAGTAAAAGTAACCTTTAAAAAAATGATTGATTTTTGAAGAAGAGAGGATTCGGAAACAAGAAGATACAAACTAAGCGGAAAATGTATAGCTTAAATTTTAAAGCACACCACAGTTGTCGAGGGGAAAAATGTATTGAGAGAGCGATGTAACATGATTCTTGACCGGGTAAGATTAATAGCCGGAAGGCGAATGAACACAAGTGCCAAGCCTTGTAGTTACGCAGACATGCTGGTGAAAGTTGACCTAGTACCAACAGTGCAATGATGTCAATTGTCTTGTGTTAATAAAGCATTACTGCGCCAGTGAGATCTCTAGGGTAACAATTTTTTCTTGACCAACTTTTAGACAAGGTACTACATACCTAAGCAAAATGTTAGCGCTAATGCTTTCGTCCCAATTCTAAAGGAGCTCAATGTTTCACAAAGCATCCATATGTGAGTCTGATAATCTAAAGGTTTACTAAAGTCGCTAAAGTTGGCCGAAGTTGTCAAATTCAGAATTCTTTCTTGCAATGATAATTTTACTCCAACTATCAGAAAGTTTAAATGCAATATATAAATGGTGGGAAGGCAGTAGCTCGAATCTACCAGATTGATCTTAAGATTAAAAAAATTCGCATTACTTGTTTACACCCACCATGTGAATTCCCATGCGAATTTGTTTTTTTCAAGTGCATTTGTACTCGACGTTAACTCTCCTAATTGTTTGTTGGGACTTTGTGAGAACAACGCTATGCTCCAATATAAGTTATCTAAAAAATAATGGAGCCCAATTTATAATTTGCTACTTGAAAGTTGCTATACATGTCTAACGTACTGGTCACTTGTAGCACTAAATATATTGCAAAAGTTTCATGAATACAGCTGCGGCAAAGCCAGAGTTGTATGGCCATTTTTTATAAAATTATTTTTCGCATAAAAACATGATGTAAGGAGTAGAGAGAGTGTGTATTTTACTGCTTTTCCCAATTTTTTCTAGCTGATTTGTTGAATTTGAAAGTGATGATGAGAAATTATAGATTTATACAACAACGCTTCATGGATATGCTAAGCAGGGGTCACTCTTGTGTTTCAAAATATCACTTCAAATGGGAACATCCACAGTATCCCACCAGCACAGTAAGATCTGGTACGTCCTCCAAGCCATTATCTACAATCCATCTACCCTGTGGAAGTGCCCCATTTGGGCGGCGTAGCAGGAGTTCCCAAAGCCTCGCCGCTTTTCCCCGGAGCTAGTAATTAGGCATCCTGGAGG